AAGATTATTATTCTTACACAATCAGTTCTTGTTTAGTAAATCAGTCTCAAAACAAGATCAAAAAGACTTTTTGGCTGGATATAAGGTTTTAAAACTTGGTAAGATTGATTTGCAGTGTAGTTGTCACATCTGAATGTCTGAAATAAAATCTATCCAAACATTTCTGGAGTTGATGAATTTATTTTGTGTCACTCGTCAGCGAGGCAGATGAGTCTTCTCTCACCGATGAAAAAGGACGGCCCCTGTCACGAGATGAACTCCTCAGGAAAATAATAAGAGTCAGTGCAATAAAGTGCCTAACCCAAGCTGAAATTATAGTTATGGATACATTGTAACTTTTTTCTAAACTTTTAGTTTTTTTGCATCTGATTTCTAGAGTCTGCAAACAGAAAGTTTGGCCTCACAGGGAGCAAGAAAAAACTCAAAGACTAGCGGGCATCTCTTTGGTAACCAGCACACCCTGGAGGATGAAATGATGTGACATCATCAGCGCTCTTATTAAAAATTACTATTTTGTACCATAGTTCAACCATCGTAAACCTATGATGGCTGCATTTATTGTTGTTTAGGTTGCAGCTTGCACATGTAAACATGAGGAGCTGAATTATTTTGCATGTATGTCATAAACACAGGCCTGCCTTGATACAATAAATGAAAATGATTTGTTTAGTTGGAACTTATCAGGTTTGCAGGCATAAAGACTCTGGTAACCAGCTGTCCTTTTGATCCCTGTCTTGCCATCTGGCTTTCACTAATTCTAGTCCCGGTACCGTCCCTCCTCGCTGGCAGTGCTTCACTATTTGCTGCCCTGCTCAAACAAAAAGGTGGGAGGCAACAGGGCCTTTTGTAATTTTAATTGACATGCTGAGACATCCAAAAGAAAAAAAAGGAATAGCTTAACTTTAGAAAAGCTTAACTTTTCACATTCATTTTGAGTACAGTTTCTGTTGTCGGGAATAACAATGGTTGTCTTCAAATGTATGTTTACTAATCCAACTCGTTTATTCAGATTGTTAAAGTTTCCCTCCAATTTTTTTTCTTACAGTTCTGCTGCTAATCTGTAAAGTGGGAAATTATCTGAACCTAAACAGAGCAGATTTCAGGTAATTAGCCAAATTAAAATGAGTCTGTAGAAAGTGTCAAAATTTAGTATCAATGCATGGACTTGTTTTTTCTTCTTCTTCTTCTTCTTTAGTTTTTGTTTTGTTTTGTTTTGTTTTTTTTCCTCTAAAGTATGTTGGATGTTTAGGGTTGAAGTTTGTGCATTAAAACATCTTAACTGGTGATCTGGAATGGTATATGTATTTGTTTTAGATAACCTAAWAAATCAGAAATATCTTGAATCAAGTTAGGATTTGAACACAGAAACATTTGGACAGATTTGATCCAGCATTCTGTGCCATCTGGAGACCGACTGTAAACAGCTTCATTTGTCTGCTTAACAATGATCCCACTTCATACTCTGCCTCCAAAACATATGCTGAACTGCTCCGCCAATGTCATAAAATTATTATCTGCAATTATCTACAACACACACACACAGCAGAAACATCAGTCATGGAATTGCTTCAGCAAGTCAGCAACTTTTACTGAAAACAAAGGACAGGAACAAAAAATAAATAAATCTCATATATAAGAGAGTTTAAAGTGCCTGTGACATGCCTATCCTTCAAAGACAAAAAGTCAAACAAAGCATATTTWTACTTAAGAAAATTGGCATAGTACAAATGATTTAACCCATTTTGTCACATAACTGGCCTGTTTTCTTTTTGAACTTGGCTCAGCTAAAGTGAAACAGGAAGTGACATCAAAGGGGAACTCATTAATAAAATTAACTTGCTGGTCTCTGTTCATTAAAACAGAATTGTTTAAACTTTAACTCTTCTTCATCTCTCTTTGATGGCGACTAAATTTAACATAAAGAAACATCAGATTCTTCTCTACAGTCTGTGTTGTTAGCTTTTGTAACATCGCTCTGTTTACATGTTGACATTCCCCTTTGACATCACTTCCTGTTTCTTCACATGCAAATATCTCAACAACAGTTCATCTCAGCAAAATGAAATTTGTTTTGCAACGTTGTTTTGCAATAAAAGTTATCTTTCCAAAAATGCTTYGTGTTTATTACAAAAATTAGGGATGCATGATATATCGGTATTGATATCGGTATCGGCCAATATTTGTCATTTTTTTTAAATATCGTATCGGTCCGATGTGTAAAACTAGGTCAACATTAACATCCGATATTGATTTACCACTTTTTAGCTTTGTGTTTCTGTTTTGGGAGGGGAGATGGTTGGTTGAGCGGCATCTGTTTGATCATGATAGTGATACTGACGCTGCGCTGCCAGTAATAACTGAAGTAGGGAGCCATGTCAGAGGTCTGGTACACTTAATTTGCTCATTTAAATCTTGTATCATATACTTGGTCAAATTAAGTAAAATTTACCTGATTTATTCACAAATCTTTAATTATATTCTTAATAACTTTTACTAGATAATGATGGGTAAATATTACATGAATTTGTAGCATCTAAATTTACTTAACAAAAGTAAGTGCAAATTGTTACAAGGATTTTTTCTAGTGAATCTTAGAAGTTCTTTATAACAGTGCACATGCGTCAAACACAATGTTGTACAGTACCGCACAGCTACAGAGAGGTGTAGCTCTTGTTGTAGTTCAAGACTTCACCACCAGGTGGCAGTTTTGAAGAACCTTTATTGAATTCTTCTTCATGAACAAAACAGACAAAGTGTAACTCACAGGTCTTATTAATGACCAGGCCTACCACTCATGGTTATTTCTGCTGAACGGTTTAACACAAGTTAACAAATAATGAACACACAAATTAGAGTAACACAACACACTAATTGCTGAAAGAACAATGTTAACCAATTCCCTAAAATGATTTAACAACAACAAACATGAATCYTACCAACAATCCTTCACTGCAGTCACATGACAAACAGCCAAACACAACAGAATGCTTCAATATACTGTACATTCCCTGTTCCCTGACAACTAAATATCAACAACATTATGACATCAAACTATTGCACACCAACAAATGTATTCAAGCAAAAGAAACCAGACAACTTGTGTTTTGTTTCGACCATGTCTTGTACTCTCCTTGAAAAGTGAAGCAAGGGAATGAGGAGCAGCAGCCTTTGTGTGTGAGTGTGCCCTCAGTTTTAGCCCAGAAGAGTAGAAGTTACTTAAYATATTCATGTTTATGTGCTGTTCAGAAAAATCACTTACATATTACTGGTAACTTTGAAAACATATGGTGGGGTGGGGGTGGGGGGTGGGGGTTCCAGTACGCCTGTAGCTTGCGCTGTGCTGTTTTTGTAAGAGTAAGAGAAAATATTGGGACGACTAAAACAACAAAAAATACTTTTTTAATGTGATCTCAAGATGCCACACTCATAATGTTGGGAAGGACTCCCAGCTACATCAAATTTAGCTCAATATCTATGAAACTGAGTAAACTGAGGTTGCAAGTTTCATTCTCATCATGTAGTCATCTAATGTGCCCACACGCTGTTAAACTTTCAGCAACAGGTGATTAAAAGCAATTAAAAGACATTGCAGCAAACTGAGTATTAGAGGAGCAATAATCGACACTGTTTTACCTTTTTATTCTGTTTTCAGAGAAGAAATCTGAGCAATGGTGCAAGCTGCTTATAGCTGAATTAATACCGTTGATTAAACACTATTTCCCTTAATGGAAAATCATTTAAAACAAACAGGATGTTTTAGGCAAAGCAAGGGGTTCTTCACATCTTCAAGTGTAACGTGAGCTTTTTTTGTCATCATTCTGTCACCTATTTGCGTCTGTCACATTATCATATTTCTAATCTAGAACAGTCAGTGTGGCTTGTGAGAGGAAATAAATAATAATAATAAAAGAACTTCACTTTGATCCAAAGGAGTCTCAAATGTCATTTATCCAAACATCCTGCAGCGAATGAGCACGTGACRGAGCAAAGATGGCATTCACCACAGAGAGAGGGAGGGAGGCACACTTCCTCTGTGAAAAGGTTTTTTTTTAGAAAAAAAAGGAGATTGTGTCTATTTTAAGAGACATATTCTTTACTGGCAACTTGGCAAACAATTAACAAAGCGTGTTGCTATATTTAGGCTTTAAAGGCCACACTGAGGATCTTATCAGCTCTACGAGGCAAAGGGATCATTTGTCACAAATGTTCAAAGCAGGAAGGAGAGGTCATCGTGTTAAATATCAATAATTTTGTTCTTTTTATGAACAT